ATACATTTACAATTCCAAATCAAATATTAGTATAATATAAATAATTCACCATACATAGCTTCAATAGTTGTAATATACTTTGTAGGACTAGGTCTTTTTGACCAATCACATGAATTTAATCAATATGTACTATGTAGGTATTTAAATAACAATGACATACATCCAAATATACATATAGGGCACTGATCAACTTATATAATTATATTTTATGTAAAAAAAATAAAAATATTTTCAATGTCGTGAATAGGGTTTGAGACCATTGGCGCAACTAGAGGGTGCAAACGGGTCTTTAGCACCTCTTGTTTTTTTAGATTTAACTATCATTATTATAGTGAAATACCCCCAGTTTAATGTTTTTAAAATATGAAATATTATAGCACCCCACGTTTTAAATTTTTTAATGTATATTTTCTACTTTAATATGATGCAAGTGATAACCACTAACAAAAACTAGGGAGAGAATAACCATTTTTTAGATTGCTTAATTTTGATTATTTAAATGTTTTTTTAAGCGTTTGATTTGATGATTTTAGGTTCTGTTTAGCCCTGAACCCTGTTCACGGCAAAATTCCTCACATATTATACTGATATTATTATGAACCATTAAACAATTTTACCTTAATAAGCCTAGGACTATGAAAAACCTATTTCAAAATGATGATACAGTTTAATCTAAATGTTCGTTTTGCAGTTAATATGCAAAATATGAGTAAAGATAAAACGTGTATTCAAAAAATTAAAACAAACTTTTCAATCACCCCAGACTTAAAAAGCAAAATTTAAAAATGGTGTTAATAATATTCTAACTTGAATTTAGTACTAATTATTATTTGGTGACAACACCAATCATTGACAGAAATAATTTAGTATTTATCATTATGACATTATACAATGTAGCACAGTAGACTAATGTTTTTGGATGTTTAGATTATTATATCTCTTTTGTTAAAGGGCTTGTCCGTAAAAAAAAAAAATGTTAAAATAAAAAATAAAAATAAAATTATTATTAATCACATAGCCAGCTAAAAATTCTTAATTTGATTTAGGACATAATCTACATATTAAACACAAAATAAATATCTATATCTATGTATATTATCTTTTAAGTTGTAATGATTGATTTTGTCACCTAATTTAAATTATTTATAGACTAGCATACAAATTATAAAGCTTTAACATTAGCACAATTTTTAGTTTTCAATACATTATTTTTTTTTTTTTTTTCATTCCGAAAATCGGTTAAATGATTACTGATGTCCCTCTCCACTTATATTCCTCTTCAACTTCCAGTATGTTCCTATTCTGGTATCTTCAATCACTTGCTTCAGAAATGGAGTTCTAGGCCTTCCTTTTCCAGGTTTCCTCCTGATTACGTGTCCGATCCATGCTTTTCTTCTCAATCTTAGCGTACTCTGTATTGATTTTTGATTCTCCTGAATACCTCAACATTTTTTTTTATCTTTTCTGTCTATTGAATTTTCAGCGTTTTCCAACATCATACTTTAAAAGCTTTTATTTTGGCTTTCTCAGTCTTCAGTAGTGTCCCAATCTCTGCTCCATATAGATCTACATTCCACACAAAGCCTTTTATAAGTGATTTTCTGCTGTCCCAACTTATTCTATTTGAGGTAAAAAGATTAATTTTTTTATAGTAGGCCTGTTTGGCATGCGCTATTCTACATACTGTATATGTACAACTTTTCTCATCGCTTGTGATTGAATAGGTATGTGAAGTTTAAGTGTTCTTTAAGCGTGTCGTTCATTTCTTCGAACATGTTAGTTATGTCTTTTTCACTTTCTGCAATTACAACAACATCATCTTTTCAATACATATCATTGGTAATGTGTAGTTATAGTCCAACTATATTTTTTCTACTTCTTCCCAATAATCCTGATTATTTAAAATATTTGTATGTCAATATAATAATTTAATAATATTACAGTTAAAGATATTAATACTCACTTAATTTATTTTATAGTCTGTTTTAATTTTGAATATGTATAATATTGATTTTCCTGATTATCGTGAAATCTACTATCAGACAACATTTTAAAGACCCAGTTTGTGCTTCAAATCATCGGTCTTAATAGACTATCAATATGCCACATTTAAATGTGCAAGTAAAATACAAAAAAAACTCTCAGAAACATCTTAGATGGTTGTAACTATAATTACCATAGTAATATTCCATTTTGTATTTACTAAGTACCAGTGTTTCATTGGTTAGGTAGACATTTGAACAAAAATTGTATATGTATAAATGATTGAACTGAAATCAAAATGTTTTAAGTTAATGAGATATATTGTTTTATTAATTTTAATTTTTGAAACTACCAACTAGTAAAACTTACCAATAGGTACATTGTATAAATTGAATTGCAAATCATCCAATTCACGTGCGATTAACCAATTTAGGTACTTAAATGTTTGATTAAATTACTAAATAAAATACAAAAAGTGGTTAATATTGTAATTTAAGTATACATATACAAGAACTAATAATATTATAAATTCACCATTAAAATTTAAACACTTAAAATTGTTAAGTATTAACAAATAAAAAACTTTATTAAATATTAGGTAATACCTACTTAATAATTACCGACTCACGATTCAAATATTGTTGTTATGACTTATCAGTTATCTTATAAAATTATAACCTAAATTATAACCGTTTATTCACTCAACGTATTGTTGGTATGTGATTAACGTTAACCTGGTATAAGGTTTACTTCCATATCATGTAACCATGGAACCAGACTTTAATCGTCCACAGCGAACGAAACAAATAACAGCTGATCAAAATTAGTTTTACCCACGATTTCACATAATCGCAAATCAGCCTAATAAACCATATCGTAGTACCCGTATTGTTCTGTCTTCTTATCCGTAGGCCGTTACGGCGTACTCCATAGGTATGGAGGGTGGTCGAGGGTTTTACGGGGGGTATACGACGTGAGTAGGTATGCCACCACGAGTGACACTAATGGTCCGATTACTTAAAATATGACATCATGACAATAAGTTAATTGTAGCGAGTAGGTACAATGAATATCAGTTATCACTATTGTATACATATATCTTGGGTTCGAATGATATCAAATTTATTACTTTTAACTTCTGGTCTTTATATTAGATAAGTATTATTATGACCAGTGGCGAGATCACATTCAGTAGGGCGAACTACATGACACCCAGTCAAATGGGTATTATAAAATACATTTAGGGGCACAACTTAAGCTTACTGTACCCACAACTTGAGTTGATTTGAAAAGTGTGATATCTTTTGCCCTGGGACATAAAAATCCTGATAGGTTAGGTATCTACTGACGAGGTATAACACATTTACACACTATAACTATCTCCAAAAACCACCTAACTTTGAGGAGCAATATCTCATCAACGGATTAACGAAAAATGAAAATTTGAACGTAATAATTAATGAAAAAATAGTTTTATTCAATTATGAAATTTTTAGTATAGGTTACCATTTGAAAATCAAAAGTTGATAGTGGTTTACCTATTAAATATAAGGGTGAAAAATATAAAAAAATATACAATTCTAGAACAGCATAAATCTACAATTTTGAAAAAAAAAAATTTGAAAAAAGTCAATACTTTTTCAAATAATGAGTGTTGTTTGATAAAAGAATCACCCTGTATAACCTTGATATTTGGCTAATGATGTTTTATGCGAATCTTCCGAGTTATGTTTTTTTGCCATCCCCGAAATATTTTTCCAATTTTTATATCCTGGGGCTATTAAAACATCTTGATGCTTTTCACGAGATATAGAACTAGTAAAAAAAAACAGAAAATTGCATCCAATTGAACAGAATATTCAATCCAAGGATAAACTTTGTACCATGAACTTTGAAAACTACGTTGTTTTTCACAAATTTTACGACGTGGAAAATTGATAATCGGCTGAATAGGTTGTTCATCACTATTTAAGCTAATGTCAAGCACATTTAAGCTAGAAGAGGAAATAGAAGACTCGTTAGAAGTTGAGGTAACATTTAATTTTAACATTTTCGTTTGTGGTTGATCTATTGTACTATCATCAGTATCATCATCGTTCAATGTCCTTGTGGATTTCGGAGTAGGTTTAAAAAACTGGCTAATCATATTTCTTTATTTTTATTTAATTATTAGTCAAGTTATAACTGTTATAACCAATATAAAATAAAAAAGTACTTATAGGTTATTCTAATAGTGTACATAAACAAAAACAGACAAAACGATTTCCTCGATCGGCTCGGTTACACACAAGTCACTATAATACGTCTACGCGACTACACAGTACACACTGTAATAAACTAATAAATTATTAATACCGAAAAATAACATATTTTATAAACCATACTAGCGATCCTGGCGTTGTGGAAGCGTTGTTGTCGGCAGTAAATGGCCAGTGACGAATGTATAAATAACTCACTTCGGGTGTATTATTGTCTATTATTTACTATTTTTAGTCGTAGTTTTTAGCCGATAAGCAGTACTGTGGCTACAATTGTTTGCGACGAAGGAAAGAACTAATAATAACGTATAAAAACGTATAAACGCTTGCTGTAAGTGGCTAATAAATAAATAATCTTTGTTCCAAAATGATTCAATTACATAATCGTATTATGAAGAAAAAAAATGTATAAAATTATGTTTCCTGAAAAATATTAATAATTATTACTTGAAAACAGGGTAGGCCTGGGCCTACCAGGCCTACCTGCTGGGCACGCCACTGTAGGAAAAACAATTTTGCGTAAATGCGTTTTGTCTATGTTGCGCGTGGGCTAGAGAAAAAAAAACAAATAGTGCGCTGACATCCTCTTAATAACTAGGTATAATGTATATAACTAATATCTGTTTTTAATAATTTACTGATAAATGGTTGATTATTTGTTAGGTTATTTAAAATATAAACCTATATCTTAATATTTCAATTTAAAAAGAATACTCGATATATATTTTCATATTTTTTAATTTTTTTAAGCTTTGTAAACTAGATTCTTATAATGAATTTACCTGTATTAAATAAGTCAAAAAAGAGTTCATTCTCAATGTCTTCATTAGCTATTGATGTTCCATCATTAAGGTACTCATCATCACTGTCTTTCTGGCTGTCATCATCTTCAACATCTTCATTGTTGATGTCTGGAATATCATTATCAACTTCATCACTTGAATCAATAAAATTATTCTCAATATCATTGACAGTCATTATTTTAGCCATCTTTATCATATTTGCAGCATTGTCGCAAGTTATTGTATAAATGACGATTATGACGTTTGACTGAGTCAATCTTTAAACTTATTAGTTGCTTTTTAATGTCATTTTTAATATTTGAAATAATCACATTTGATGCATTAAATATGGGATTTTTAATATTTTGCGAGTTAATAGTAAATCCTAAAATGTAAAACAAAATATTACCTTATTAATTTATTATAGACATTGATTAAATAGGAACCAATGGCCCATGACTGTACACCAGTACTCAGCACTTACGCATTAACTTTTTAACCCAAGTTAAGTTAGTTTTAAAAACAATACGTTTCTTAATTTAATATAGCTAAATTTAAAATAAAAGGTATCTAAAATTGTTCAAGTAATTAAGCCAAAAATCTACTGTTTTATATGTTCTAAAAGGTAATCATACCTCCATATTTGTTAATATTATTAATACTTATTAGAATATTATAACTTATAAAATGTGTACCAGAAATTTAATTTTAGCCAAATTAAAAACATGGTAACCTTTTGGACATACTACATCTAATTTATGATTAATAAAATATCTTAATAAATAAAAACAATGAGATATTAAAATTAATGTAAGCAAATAAGTTCTGTGTATCAGTGTACGGCCATATATTATTGTTAGATATTTAAATATTTTATTTAAAATAATTTATTTACCTCAACCAATTGCTTCTGTTAAGGGACGTAGAATTTTTGAAAACCCAGAGTCATTGAAAATCGTCAATGGTCTACCATTCACTGTAACCATTTCTGTGCACGCCTCCAACAATGAAATCTTATTTAAATTAACGGTCAATTTTTTTTTTCAATTTTTATATGTTTGTCCAAAGGTCCATGTTTCTGTTACAAAAGATTTAGGTATAGATACAACAATTATGTCAAATATCTAAAAAAAAAAAATGTTAATACGTACCTTACTCGAGCACGAATTATTTCCATCATTATTAAGACGCTTTACACCAGTTTTAAACTTCGTTTTTTTTAAATCTTCCTTAGCTTCATCCAACATGATAGCTTCATCGGGATGAGTTGTTCGAATGTGTGTTTCCAAATTGTGACTTGCACTGCCCTTAAGTACGGGCCTACGACACCCTTCAATTGTACAAACTGACTCGTTTTTGTTTATATCGTAAGTAAAAAATAAATTTTTTTACGGGGTTAGTCTGGTGTCGACCAATTTTAAATTATATATCACAATAAGTAATGAGAAGTATAAAATGGTGGAATAACTGAATAACACACGGCAAAAAAAGATCACTATTAATCAGACATACCAACGCGACACGCATCCGCAAACAAGAGTAGGTACTGTGTTATACTGGAATGGGACAAAATATTATGACGACGTAAAATTAAAACTGCAAGAGTTCAAAATAAAACTATTTGAAGTTATTTAATTGTATATTATTGGTTGAAGCTATATGACGCACGGTTGACGGCCAACGATTAACGAACCAATATAGTATTATAAATTAATATATTTTCCATAATAATAATATAATACAAAATGTCTATATATAGTATTATATTATACGGAATAAATTTCCCCACAAAAACAACGATCGCTCATCGAACGCTGATTCCTTATCGTATATATTCTACGAAAACAAAATACTAGTTATTAATATTATATTATTATACACTATCATGCATAATATGTATAGTATAATCAATATTATTACCAAATATGGCGATGTCTGCGGATTGACAATATAAATAGATCTGCTGGGTGTTGAATTTTAAATTAATTTGATTTAAAATCGTTTTTATTATAATAACGATTACGATTTTGATATAAATTATCGATTTTAACTTTTTTCAATTTCAATATAAATTTTGAAAATCATTACCTATGTAAATAAATAAAAGAACTAATGCGTGTATAGACTTGTATTTATTAACATAAGAGATGTTCCTCTCGTCGGCGTCGGGAACTAACTGACTGTCCGACTGCCGTGTGCAGTGTTGCAACCGTACAATGATAACAATTACAACATAATATAATTACATAATATAAAATAAGTGACAACATTGTAATATGTGATTTAGAACCTTACATTCGGCCCAAAAAAAATTAACAGTAAAATAAAGTATAATAAATCATGGTGTAATAATAAATTGATAACATAACTAAATGATAAAATAATACTATCTTGTATAGAATTACAACTTGTGTTTTTTTTTATAATAATTAAATTAATGAAATAATAAATTACTGGCTTTAGTTAACAGCCTTAATAGGAACACATGTAATAATAAGCACCTCAACTAAATACTTAATAGTGGTACAAAATAGTAACTGATAATAAAAGGTAAGTATAAAAGTATTTAATGTTTTATAATAATTTTTGTATAATACCTATCGGCCCAAAAAAAATTAATACATAATAACATTAACCTATTATATAATCTTTTAACCAAGATGGTGTCTTGCGAGTACGTTTAGTAATGCTGTTTACCTTAGTGTCTATGGTTGGGGTAGGAGAATTTATTTGGATGTTGTCTGTGAGAGAAGTTGGAGGTGATTGTTGATTGTTCTCCTCAAATTGAATCTCTCCTGGATCATCCAAATTTGGTCTGTATTGAGCTGGTTTAAGTGATTGTACATGAACTATTCTGGAATGTTTTTTGTTTGTTGCATCGGCCCTGGTAATTTTATAACAAACTTTTCCAACTGGGTGTTCAATGACAAATGGTCCTTTAAAATTTGGTGAAAGTTTTGTGTCATTTGTAGACTGCCAGTTATACCATACTCGTTGACCTGGCTGGAAGTTGTGGTGGCTTCTATGTTGATCGAATCGTTTTTTGTTTATTTTGTGATTGTCTTTTAAGTTTTCAATTGCTATACCTCTACTTTCTGCAAGTAAGTCTAGTTGATCCATTCTTGACAGGTCTGACTGTACTGAACCTAGTGCCATATCCATAGTAGAGAGTTTTGGTTCATAACCATGTAATAAGTAGAAAGGTGAAAACTTTGTGGTGCTCTGTTGAGATGTGTTTATAGCTAAGATTAGGTTTGGTAGCTTAATGTCCCAATCATCTGGGTGCTCTAATGAAAATTTAGATAAAACTGAGATCATGGTTGCGTTAGAACGTTCTACCAGTCCGTTGGCTTGTGGGGTATATGGTGGACATAGTGAATGTTGTATTTCATATTTTTCTAAATACAGTTTGAACTTAGAACTTGTGAATGAAGAACCATTATCCGAAATATATGTAACTGGTAGTCCATAGTGATTTATGATATCATTTTCAAGTGTGTGAATGATATCGTCTGTGGCAGTAGTACATGTAGGTCTAGCTAAAAGAAATCTGGTAGCGTGACAGATGTGAGCTAATATGTAACAATTGCCCGCTTTAGTAGTTGGGAGTGAAAGGTGATCTGCTGAGATGACTTCAAAAGGAACTTCAGGTATGGGTCTCTCGCCTAACATACCATATGCTGATGTGGTTCTTCTGTTGACTTGTTGACAAGTCTTACATCCACGAACATAGAGGGCACAGTCTTTTCTCATGGAACTCCACCAATAGCGTGCTTTAATCCTGGATAAAGTTTTCTTAATATCGAAGTGACCTGTGTTGTCATGACAATATTGTAAAACTGTGTTGCGAAAAGAAAATGGAATGACAATTTTACTTACTTCAAAACCATTTTCTATATTGACATGAACTAGGATGTTATTTTCATATTTATACATACATTTTATTTGTAGAATATGAACCGTGTTATTTGTATTCTTAAGTTTTTTATTGATTTGTTGGCAAAAGGAGTCAGCTTGTTGGGCATGTACTAATTTATCGTTTTGAGAGTTAATGATTGCCAAACAACACTGATTTTCATCGTTAACAGGTTGAGGGTATCTTGAAAGATGGTCTGCAATAATGTTTAGTTTACCAGCTCTGTAGATGGGTTCAAATTCGAATGCTGCTAAGTCAACAACATATCTGGCAAACTTTCTGTTAAGCTTAGCTTTATTGACTATGTAAGCTGTGGAATAATTATCCGTTATGAGTTTAAAGGTTTGACCGACCAAATAAAGGCGAAATTTTTCGGTTATAGCCCAATGTACCGCTGTAACCTCTAACTCATTGCTATGGTAACGTTTTTCTGGATCTTTAAGGGATCTGCTTGCGTATTCTATTATACATATAGATCCATCATGTATTTGGGAGAGACAAGCACCTAATCCTTCATGACTTGCGTCGGTTTCTACGGTAGTTGGCACGTTTTGACGGAAGGCTGCAAGAACTGGGTTCGAAGTAATTGCTGATTTTAACTTAACAAAAGCATGATGTTCATCATCTGATAATTGAATTTTATAATTAGAAGATTTCTTACTTGATACTGGTTTGTTCTTCAACATATTGGTTAAGGGTCTTGCAATTGATGCAAAGTGATTTATATACCTTCGTAATGCATTGGCAAATCCTAAAAAACTTCTAAGTTCCTGAAGTGTACTTAATGTTTGGTACCTTGTGACTGCTTGGGCACGTTCAGGGTCTGGTCTGTCTCCTTTCTCGTCTAATATTCTGCCTAAAATCTTTATTTCCTGTGCAGCGAAAGTGCACTTGCTTTTAGTAAATTTGAGACTGTATTTCCTTGTGGCTTCAAAAAGTAACTGTAGAAAATTCAAGTGGTCTTCAAATGAATCATGTCCTGCTGCTAAATCATCATAGTACTTTGCCAGTCCTAATTTAAGTAAATCACCATAAGCAATAGAAATTGCTCTAGCTAAAAGAGCTGGTGCATTCGCAAGTCCAAATATAACTCTGCAAAATTCGATATGGTAATCAGGAGTCACTGCAGCAGTTTTAAAAATATCATTTTCTTTAATTTTAAAATTGTTAAAAGCGTGTTTGATATCTACCAATGATTTGAATTTTTTACCAGCTATTTTACTGATCATCAAGTCCATTTGATCTATTGGAAATGGGTCTTTTACTGTAATTGGATTTATAGTTCTTGAGTAGTCTACAACCAATCGTTTCGGGGTTGACTCATGAAATGGCTGATCTACAACAAAGGCAGGTGCTGCATAAGGCGACGTTGACATGCGACACACTCCTTGTGATATCCATTTTTCTACTTGATTTCTCATAAATGTTCTGTCTGGATCGGTTGCTTTATAAGGTTTACATTTAATAGGCTTGTCGTTGGTCAATAAAATCTCCATCTCAATGTCCGGAAATTCTCCAAGTTCAGCTTCAGGTGTTGAAAAAATGTCCTCATATGAGTTAATTAGAGATTCAAGTTTCTGGGTTTGGTCTTGATTGAGAAATGGTTGATCTACTTTTGTGGTTTCTATATCAGATATTTTGGTAACAAGTGGTCTGTTGTTAAATCTGGATTGTACGACACATCCAACAAATGCAGTTTTGGATTTTACACAACCGAATTCTTGAATAGACGATGGTGTTGTTATACATACAGCACCATTTGGTTCGATAGTAATTGTTGCCTGTACTGCTTTTTGCCAATCACGACCTAGAATCATTGCAATTGGTAATTTATCACATAGACCTACTTTTGGCATAACATAATCAATGTTTCCGACTTTTATTCTTAGACTTATCCAACCACTTGGTGTGCAGTTACCCTCAGGCGTAGCGTATGATCCATCTTGCCATGGAAATATGGGTATGTTATCTGGAACAAAACACCTTCTGAGTAACGTAACACATGATCCAATATCGGGTAAGGCATCGATAGTCATGTTGCCATTTATTGTGGCCGGAATTTGAGATACTCTAACAAAATCTTCTGAGGTAGAATCCTCTTGAACACAATTTATTGTTTTGGTTGTCAATGTCTCTTTAGGCTTTACCTCTTTATTAAAATGTTTCTTATTGGCGTAGGTGGTATCTTTTATGTCTGTCTTGTTGTAAACACGAGCTGATTTTTCTTGAAGTGGATTTTTACAATTGTAACTGACGTGTCCTACTTGCTTACATCTATAGCAAGTTTGATCTTCTTCTTTATGAACTGATGGGTTGAAACGAGGAATATAGTTACCTTGTTCTTTTTGGTTGTCTTGAGATTTGAAACTAGTTGTATTTTCGGAAGTATTTTCTTTAACATACTGAACTTTGCGAATGGCATCCAATTGCACAGCCCTATCTAAGAGGTCCTTAACAGAAGTACACATTGCTGTCGTCAATGGAATTGCCCATTCGTGTTTAGTTATGCCTTGTAAGATTAAGGAAACTCTATCAGACTGTTGTAGCGGGAATGGAGCTTTGTCTATAATAGCATCCTTGTCATAAATGTAATCTGCAATTGGTTCATTAGAGCGTAGTGTGCGTTTGGCTTGGAATTGTATAAATTCAGAAAGAGACATCTTAACTTTAAATCTATCTATGATGCCTTCTTTCCAAGTATACCAATCGTCAAAAGAGCGACCAGATACTTTGTGCCAGTTTAAGGCTGATCCTGCTAATCGTGAGGTGGCGTTGACTAAGGTGAGAGATGGAGTCCAGTGTGCGTGTACTGAAATGCGTTCAACTTCTTTAACCCAGTCGCAAACATTTTCGATTTTTTTTCCAGAGAATAAAGATATTGCTTTAGCAGTATCGTTAGTGGAAAAGATTTGTACTTGATGTTGAGAGTTTAGTGATAATTTATCGGCGATTGCTTGTTGCGATTGTGATAATCGGAGAATGAGGTCCAGAACATTTTCGTTGGCTGGTTGGCTGTTTTGGGTTAAGCTCATCGTGGCGATAGTGTTCTGCAATTCAATAATTTTTTGAGCGTCTTCGTTTCGTTTTTTTCTAGCTGCAATAAGGTTTGCTTGTATTCCGTCAGCTACTACTCGCTCATTGTCGCTGAGAAGCATGTCTACAAGTTCTTCTTTTTGACCTGTATTAGGTAATAATCGGAATAATAATTCTTCTCGAATTTCCTCGGTCTTAATTGCCTTTAATACTGTCCTTTCCGTTGAGTCTAAAGCACTCATGACTGAGGATTTGACGAATTTGATTAGCGTTTATGACAATACTGATAATTGATACGTAATTTATCAGTTATCACAATATCATAGATAATACGAGTTATATTATCTATGCACAATATAAACAACAATGTTGTCAGTGTACGTACTGAAGTTGTTAACGGCTTCACTTGAATGTTGGTTACAGTTAACCTCAAACTTGAAAAAGGGTAGAATAAAACGTTTCGAAATCCACGTGCAACGTAAGCATGTAAGACTTCAAATAAAAAACGGAAAACGCACTTCTATGTAAATTTACGTTAAACGACACTTAAAAAATACAATAGAACACGTTTCGATTTACCACAGCGCCATGTAAATAAATAAAAGAACTAATGCGTGTATAGACTTGTATTTATTAACATAAGAGATGTTCCTCTCGTCGGCGTCGGGAACTAACTGACTGTCCGACTGCCGTGTGCAGTGTTGCAACCGTACAATGATAACAATTACAACATAATATAATTACATAATATAAAATAAGTGACAACATTGTAATATGTGATTTAGAACCTTACACCTACCATTAACGATTTTGATATTGATTTTGATTTTCTAAATGATTTTTAACGATTTTTATCGATATTTAAAATCGATTTTGAAATCGATTTCAAGCCCTGCTTTCAATAGCTAAAATGTATCTAGAAGATTGTAAATCAAGAGAACTGGACAGTAAATATTTAATTTGTTTAACAGTATATCGAAATATTTTTTGTCAGAATTATAATTTAGACTTTTATAAGCCCAAGAAAGATCAATGCTTACAATGTGAAGCATAAGAAGTTGAGCAAACCACAAGAAGAACAAATCATCAATAACTATCAAAATCATATACGCAGGCGAGATGAATCTTTTTCTGCTAAACAATTGGACAAGGAAAGAGCTTCTAACAACAATAATTTTTGTAGTGCAACCTTTGATCTTCAAAGTGTTTTACAGATCCCAAGCTCTAATGTATCCAGTATGTATTATAGTAGAAAAATATGCACCTATAATTTAAAATTGTACGAGGCTGCACCCCCCAACCGTGCTTTTGGTTTTTTGTGGACAGAACTTAATAGACAAAAGGGGAGCTCTGAAATTGGTACTGCTGTATATAAATGGATTCAGTAGCTCTCTGAAAATATAACGGAAATATCCTTGTACTCCGATACATGCAGTGGTCAAAATCGAAACCAGTTTGTAGCAGCTTTATTTCTATATACTGTTACTCATTCAAGGATCAAAACTATAACACACAATATTATGGAAAGCGGACATTCCTACATGGAAGTAGACAGCATGCATAGCACCATAGAATCGGCCAAAAAAAATTTTCTAGTTTACACTATGCAGGATTGGCTAACTATTTGTCGTCTTTCTCGTTCAAATAGACACAATAAAAAAATGTTCAAACTACACAGTGCAAGAACTGAAGTACACAGATTTTTTGGATTTAAAAAGCTTGGCAAATCAGATAATGAAAAATCGTTCCTTGGATATAAAAGGCAATAAAGTAAACTGGTTGAAGATTAAAGTTTTGAAATACGAAAAAAATATGAGTGGTGTTATTCAGTTCAAGTATAATTATTCTGATAAGGAGTTTAATATTATACGTAGGTATTAGTGGAAGGGGTAGACCAACAAAGTTTCCTGATCATTTGAAAAACTTGTATGACAAACCCCTACCAATATCAGCACTTAAAAAAAATGATTTGATGAAACTATGTAAAACTCAAGCTATACCAGACGAATTCCACGAATGGTATAAAAGTATACCATCATGTTCCAAAAAGAAAGAAACTGTGATACTATCTGAATCTGAAAATGATTCTAATTAATGTCTGAATACTATAAATAGGTGCTGTTAAGTGTTAAGTTTATTAAGTAATTTAATTAATTTATAATAAATTAATTTGTTTTTCATAAAGATATTTTTTTTAGTAATCATTTTATAAAGTTTAATCTTTATTTTCAAATAATTAATTAATATTTTGTTTTAAAAGTGACCTAACATTATTATATTATTATTTTGTTTATTTCTAGTTATTTGAAAGATATTTTATTTACTGTATTTATTTTCTGAATCTGAAAATGATTCTAATTAATGACTGAATACTATAAATAGGTGCTGTTAAGTTTATTAAGTAATTACCTTAATTTATAATAAATTAATTTGTTTTTCATAAAGATATTTTTTAGTCATCATTTTATAAAGTTTAATCTTTATTTTCAAATAATTAATTAATATTTTGTTTTAAAAGTGACATAACATTATTATATTATTTTGTTTATTTCTAGTTATTAGAAAGATATTTTATTTACGGTTTTTTGATTATTTAATAAAAATGTTGTTATTTTATTTTATAATATTGGAACAATTAAGTAAAAATAAAAGTATGTTGTTTGAATTATGTTTATGTATAAAATTATTTTAATAATAACGCATTTATTCTCATTTAAAACATAACAAAAAACTAATGACCAAGTGTATTATACTTGTGACTTGGTCACTTTTTAAATGACCAAGTAAAACCCTTTTTCACTTGGTCACTTTTTACCATAAAATTAAGTTAGTCATTTATAATTTAGTAATCATAGTAATAATTATTGACTAAAACTAGTATACTACAGTGTTAAGTATAATATTGCGGTTTTATTGGTATCAAAATCATCAACATTGGTTAAATTCTCGATTTTTAAATATGTGCTCAACTTTAAAAGTGACATTACTCAAAACTAGAAAAAAACACTTTTGGCATGAGGGCGACGATATGACTGTTTTGAGTTTGACTGTTAGTTTATTCATGAAATATAAGTAATAACATACACCTTAGTTATTAAAATTAAAATGTAAGATTTTTAATCAACAATGAAGATTTTAGACTAAATTTATCAATTACACATGTGTAATCAATATCAATATCTTGCTCATAATTTATCCTCATCAGTGCTTCTAGTCTGTCATTGGACATGGTAGAACGAAGTCTGTTTTTAATAATTTTAAGTTTGGAAAAACTTCTTTCTGTCTCTACACTTCCCACTGGTAATATTAATGCAATTTTATACATGGTAAATAAAGTTGGAAACATAATTTTAAGAGAACCGTGATTGCAAAATAATCTGAAACAAAAAGTTTATTTTATTTAGGAAATATTCAAATAATCAAATACCTATACATAGCACTATAGCAGTTAATATAATATTAACCGACTAACAAACTATTCTTTGAAAATATTTCAATTTGGATAAAATAAATTAATATATTTTTAATATTATTAATGTATTTATATTTATTTTTAAATTTATATATTTTATAAAATATTTATTATACCTGTATATTAAAGTAAGACTTCCATGATTTTTTATGTTTTTTTCTGATGCATCATTATCTTCTTTGTTTGATATTAAATAGTTGTCATTTTCTGAATCAAAATCCTCTTCTTGATTTATATCAGAATCTTCAAAACAAACTGCAGTATCTCTATTATCATGAAGCATATTTGGCAAACTTTCACATTTTTCCAATAATTCAAAATAGTTACAAAATTCTTTATACCTTATTCTTATCCTATATTCTTCATGTCTAGCATTATCTGGTTGAACAAATTTTGAATAAATTTTTCCAAAAACATCAAAAGCATCTACTGGAAGATTTTTAATATTTTGTTTTACTTCATTCAACCTTTTCTTAGACAAAAGACTAATATCTTTTAATAAACCAAGGGTAGATTTATCAGGACTTTTTGAGCTATTTGATGAAGTATTATTGTTGCCAATGAACCTTCTGTTAACTGAGTTATTATACAGTCCAGAGCTGAAAAGTATGTGTTAACTTTGAAATGTTGTATAGGGAGTATTATTACTCATCTATTACGTTTTCATCAGCCATTTGTTTTCGCTTACGAGATCTATGTTGAGGTATAGGTTCAAACTCGTAATCACTATCTATAATGAACTTTTTTGTTTGATCAGAGATTTCATTAAATAATTCATCTGTTCGAAGTTTATTTAATGATTTCAAATTGTCTTCAATTAGCATGGTAGCTCAGTAAATATCAAAATCTGGACTTTGCAAGTGTTGAGATGTTTTATCTAAAATTTTGAACATATTTTCAAAGCTACAAAAATATTTCCGATGTAAAGTATTTTAATAAACCACCGGCAGTGATGCCACATCGTCTGTCCCCTGGCCCTTCTGTATCTCTAATAACTTGAAGTGTTTCAATCAAAGTATTAAATGTTTTGAGTACAGTGCATAATGCATAGTAATGTGACATCCAACGTGTAGTAGTAACTCTTTTAAATCTTCTTATTGGTAATTTTGGATTGATTTTTTTTTGATTTTTTTCATATGAAGATACTCTTTTTTTGCTCGAACATACAAAATCAAAAATTTGTTCCAAATTTCCAAATAAATCCATAGCATTGTTACCCGAGGAAACAGCATCAATTACAACTAGGTTTAATCTATGGGCCCAGCACCATATATACACTGCACTTGTATTTTGTTCGTTAATAATTGATTGTAAACCAGTATACTGTCCACGCATACTTGCTGCTCCATCATAAGCTTGCCCGATTAAATAATGTTTCCAATCCAGATTGTGATCAGTACAGACACTATAGAAAAGTTCAGCTAAATCCACCCCTCGTGTGTTCGAAGATTCTTTTAAAGCAATAAACCGTTCCTTGACAGTATCGTTTCGAACATATCTAATGACAAAGGACTTGTTCTTTTCTTGATATGTCAAAAGTACTATCGATTGATATGCTGAAAAACCGAGCATCAACTATTTTTTCATCTATGAATGTTGCTATACATTCAGAAATTGTATCAATTAATAAATTTTGTTTCCTCAAAGAGATAAGTGAACATTCACTTTTGTGTTTTTGTATTTTAATTTCGGTAATATACTGAGCCATAATAGGTGAATATTTGGAAATAAGTATAATAAGATCTTTAAAGTTTCCTTTATTTTGTTCGTGCCATCCTTCACGATGTCCACGAAACGCCAATCCGCGTCTACCTAGGTATAACGTAATATCAATTAATTGTTTCACAATTTCACGATTTTTGAACACTTGTTCTTTTTTACGAGATTGCAATGAGGGAATTATTGGTAAAATTGACTGGCTTAACAAACTTTTCATTGAACTTGCTATGTGACTCTCTGTACACTCATGACGTTCAATACCATTTAATCCACTAGACCATGCGTTGAAACCATTTTTTGTCCATGCAGTATTCGGTTGGTTATCAGAAGAAGAAAAAAAACATACAATCAATACAATAAATATGGTCATTGGTAATAGAATAGCTAAGTCAATTTCTATTTTCAACACTTTTTCCATCTGGAAGAATTTTTTTGTACCATTCAGAATGAAATCTTCTACTATTTTTATTTATTGGAAATTGTTTTTTATTAAGAGAGTTAGCAGTAGGTTGTGATGGACTTATTTCTAATATTTTGGTAATTAATTCATAATTTGGATTCTTCAGTAAACATAGTTTGGCAGGATCATTGTCCAATGTATTTATGTTAGTATCTGATTTCTGACCTAAAATATGAAAATATTGTGTTAACCTTCGCCATATCATATTGCTTACATGAAATTATTTTGAAATACCCATAATTTGTTAAAATATATGATTATGATATTTATTTATTTATTTATTAAGCTCACAAGCAATCCTATACTATAAAATAACAAGGAAATCATCTGTCTATAGTGTACCAATGGAAAGGAAAACGCAGGCTATAGTGAAACCGTGGCGTAAAAATGAAACACCGCTCCGTTTCCCCAGCCCGCCGGCCATGTCCCGTCGAATTGAAGAGCTCCCTACGGTGGAAAAGACCAGTCCAGCAGAACAAAAATGCGAAGGGATCTATCGTACCGGTGTGTGTGTACAGTCACAGTTTAATTGTCCAGTTGTACGTTATTATATATTATACTTATACAACAGGGACGGCGCGAGGGGGGGATCGGGGCAGTTGCCCCGGGCCCCGCGATTTTAAAATTAGAATTAAGGCCCCGTAGTTCTGAAATGATTTATACTGTTCAGAGATTTTACTGAATTTCCGAAATTTTATTTATTGAAATCATAATTCGTAATAATTTATCCTATACTATAAAATGACAAGGAAATCAGCTGTCTACAAGCAACCCGTGTAACGGAAAACGCAGGCTATAGTGTACCAATGGAAAGGAAAACGCAGGCTATAGTGAAACCGTGACGTAAAAAATGAAGCACCGCTCCGTTTCCATAGCCCGCCGGCCATGTCCCGTCGATTCCTTATAGCGCGACCAATCGCGTACCTTCGCAGCGGCGGCGGTCGGTTTTAAAACGTTTTTCGTTTTCACCTCTTTTCCTATCATTTCGCCGGTTTTTGAAATTTTCGGAAAATTAGCTGTTTTTACACGATTTCGACCCTTTTCGTCCTTTTTTATACTTAATTCGAAGCCGCCGGTGTGCGGTTTATATTCGTGCACCGTCCGAAGCGGTCGCAATGTCGATCGAAAAATACACTCCCGACCGAACTTTTTTTGCCGATTTTTTCCTTTTCTCCCACCGTTTCGTCTATTCGCACGCCGTTTGTGCCCGAATCGTGTAGTCGACGTTTTTTTAAAGCCGTTTATATGGGCTTTTCCCCCGAAATCGGTTCGTTCGCCTCGCAATCGCGTTTAGAAATTACGCCGGCGACCGACGTACATATACATGCATATACGTGTATAATTTAATTTTTCCCTATGATGTAATAATTATTAACGGAAAACGCTTTTCACACGCCCCGTTAAATATATATATGGGAGATGCGCGTATTACTAGCGAATTATATGCGATTACATCGATGTACATCGAATATATCGGTTTACGTCGCTCCGTAGACGCACGGCTTAAGTGTTGATGTTTTGATCGTATTTTTCACAACTCAAACTGTGTCCAAGTAAGTTAGGCGTTAGGTAGGAAACACGTAGGTCCCGTGTTCGAATCCGTCGTACGCTGCCCGAGCGTCGAATCCGATTATGCCATAATGTCTACACGGCCGCCCGGAACCTGACTTTTTTTGCATTTTTTTTTCACGTTATTTTTAATAATAATATAATAATACAGGAACATATCGTACATTATTATTATTTAAAGTCATTGTCATATTATATCACACAATAAATAGGTACATATTATATTTGTTTTGTTAGGAATTATTATAATTGCATATTTTTCAAAAAGTCCATGATTGTTATATAAATATAGTTTGTATTTTATTTCGGATTGCCTACCTAGGTGGCTAAATTGAAAGTTAATCGATTTTGACTTGAGATGACTGACTTGCTAGACACTCCAACACGGTTGTCGACTTTACACTTTTTACATAAGGAATGGGACCGGACATGCGAAGCCACATACCACTCTATGTGATATACCTACCTACTATATATAGGTGATTGACGGATTGCTCATTTTAATTTCGTCTTAAACGGTGATGATTGACTTGACAGACACTTTAACAGTTTAACATGCAGGTTTTTGCATTTTTTTTTTAAATTAATATATATACATTATAGGTAATGTTTATATGTATTGTATTGGTTAATATAATAGTATGTATCTAACTATCTACCTATATGTTAATTTTTTTTAGGAATTATAATTGCACATTTCTCAAAGTGTTCATTGTTATATTATATCACACAATAAATACATATCATATTTGTTTGTATGTATATTGTATATAGTTTGAATTTTTCGTAAATTATTTCGTAAGTTGTGTGATAAAAACTGGATAAAAAACTGGATAAAAAAAATGACTAATACTGCTACAAATAAATCTCTACTTGTTATATTATTCAATGCTAATGGACTAAAAAATCATTTATCGGAACTTCAATCAGTACTAAATAATAGACGCATCGATATTGCTTTAATTACAGAAACGCATTTTACCTCATACTCACACGTACACATACCCGGTTACAGGCTCCATAAAGCCAATCATCCCGACAATACAGCTCATGGTGGTGTCGCGATTTTTGTTAAATATTCAATTCTATATCAATCTCTTCCAAGCGTCTGCGAAGATATTTTCCAATCTTGTGCTATTCAAATTTATTTTAATAATGTTCCAATCACAGTTGCAGCAATTTATTCACCTCCAAAGCATAATGTTTCCTATGAAAACTTTTCAAATTACTTCAACACAATAAACAATAACTTCATCATAGGTGGGGATTATAACGCGAAGCATCAGAGTTGGGGCTGTCGAGTGAACAACCCACGAGGAAATGTTCTCTCAAATTTTGTAAATACAAAAAAATTCAAGGTGCTTGCGCCTCCAGGACCCACCTATTGGCCTTCGTCCCGACACAAAAATCCAGACATATTAGATATTTTTATAACAAAAACCCCTTCAAATGTGCACTATGTCATCGACAATATTCTAGACTTAAATTCTGATCACTCGTCGGTTATTCTCACACTTAACGACTATCCTGCAATTAATACTGAACCATCAAAATTATTTTACACCACTACTGATCGTTACAAATTCCATGACCTGGTAAACCAAAACCTTCAACTAAATGTCAGATTGAAATCCAATGACGACATAGACGCAGCTGTAAATAACCTAACGAATGTTATTCAATCAGCAGCCTGGGCGGCCAACACAGCTAAAAAGGTACATAAAACCAACTCTAATTCGCTGCCGATTAATATCCGTATCCTAATATCAGAAAAGAGAAGAGCTAGAGCCCTCTATCAACGTACTCGCTCACCCTCCCACAAACAAACATACAATAACTTAGGCAATCATCTTAAAAAAGTCCTAGCAAAAATCAAAAATATTAACTACGAAAATTTCCTGAGCAAATTATCTACAAATAATAGTAGCCTTTGGAAAGCGTCCAAACAAGCTTTACATTTGAAAATACCCACTCCACCTATTAAAAAATCTGATGGGAGTTTCACTGTGTCGGACACAGAGAAAACAGAACTTTTCAAAAATCACCTCTTTAATGTTTTTCAACCTCACCAAGATATTCTACCTGCCAACTCTGACACAATTCTTAGTGGTCTTGATATGCCTTTACCTCTATCTTCCCAAATTAAACATTTTTCACCGAGCGATATTAAATTTGCAATCCAAAAGCACACTCTTAGGAAGTCTCCGGGTTTTGACCTAATAACGGCTGAAGTAGCCAGATGCCTTCCTAAACGCGCAATCGTATTTCTAACTCATATATATAATGCCGTACTCAGACTGTTTTACTTCCCACTTTTATGGAAGTTCTCCAAAATCATACTTTTCCCAAAACCAAACAAGCCCCCTGACCTGGTAACGTCATATAGACCAATTAGTCTATTACCTTTTTTCGGAAAAGTGCTAGAAAGACTAATACTGAATCGCATACTTCCCATAATTAGTGAAAAAAATGTATTACCTAACTATCAATTCGGTTTTCGCGCACATCATTCTACAATCCATCAAGTACACAGGCTAGTTGATTCGGTTTCTTTCGCACTTGAAAAAAAAATGTATTGTTCTTGTGTATTTCTTGACATTCAACAGGCCTTTGACCGTGTATGGCATGAAGGGCTGCTGTACAAGGTAAAATCCTTTTTGCCCCCAACATACTACACGCTATTTAAATCTTATTTAACTGATCGTTATTTTCAAGTTCATTTTAAATCTGCATACTCAAACATAGCTAACATCAGAGCTGGTGTGCCTCAAGGGGGTATCCTTTCTCCATTACTATATAACTTATATGCTTCTGACCAACCAACCTCCGTCAACACCATTGTGGCAGACTATGCAGATGATAAACTCATCATATCTATTAATGAAAACCCCATTGTAGCATCGCGTAATCTACAGAATCATCTTTCTCTTATGGAAACCTGGTACAAGAATTGGAGGATTAAGATTAATCAAGCCAAATCTAATCACACTACTTTTACCCTTAAGCTAGGACACTGCCCGCCAGTCACTCTCTTTGGTACGCAAATTCCGTCCACTCCGACAGTCAAGTATCTTGGCTTAACCCTTGACCGTAGACTAACATGGGCACAACATACACGTGCTAAAAGACTCCAACTAAATCTCCGACTTCGTATGCTTAAATCTCTACTAGTCAATAACAAACACACCAACCTTAATATAAAACTACTAATGTACAAATCCCTCATTAAACCCATTTGGACCTACGGTATCCAACTGTGGGGAAACGCAAAAAAATCAAATACAAATCGCATTCAGACTTTTCAAAACATAACATTAAGAAAATTAACAAACTCCCCCCATATGTTTCCAATCATACTCTCCACACAGACCTAAAAATTAAAACTATTAAAGAAGTAGCTGCTATTTATTATAAAAGATTTCATAAAAGGCTTGCAACTCACTCAAATCCTTTAGTCAAAACACTCTCATCAAATGTTATTCCGGGAAATCCTCCAAGGCGACTAAAACGCAACTGGTGCAGAGATATGCTGACTTAATATCATAATTTAAAAAAAAAAAAAATCAATAAACATAGTGTATCTATGAGAAAACCTAATTATAACCTCAATTTTTAAGTGTCATCACTGGGTGGCTG